TTCAGTCTAAAAGATTCGGACAAACGTTTAATTATCAAAGCTATAAAGTAAACGGTTAACAATGACCCCACCTCGCTTAGAGAACTTGCAATAAGGATACAACTAACAAGCACTGATGAATGTTTCAAGGCTTCTGGGGCTGGATGTTTACAACTAATATGTTCCATGTCGAGACTGTCGACGGCAATATTTGTCTAAGTCTAGGTAAGTTGATTTATGATATTCACGCCATTCATGCCTGATTGGTTAGGACGGAAGGATCGATGGAGGAATGTTCAAAGATGATACAATTCTGTAGCATGTATGATAGTCGTAAATAGTGTAGCATGTAGCATGTATGATAGTCGTAAATACCACAGCTGTTTTCCCACCTTACTTCATTTTCTTTTTTAAAACATATACTGAGTCAAAAAAGAAACTTCACATTCTTTCTTCAGGGCACTATAAAAGAACAAGAGATGGTAAGATGGTTAAATTGTTATTATTTCATTGCTGAGATCTGTGGGATGTACTCGATACACTGCCAGTGCCATAATCAGTTCCGTTAGGCTACACCGCCGTTCCAAAACATGGGTATACAGAATGTCAAGTCACAAGAATAAAAATGCGAAATTTCTCAGTTCAATATTGTGTATGGCCGCCCCGCGCATTCACCACTGCCAAACACTGTCTCTTCATCGACTGCCTGATGCTTGTGAACACGTGGTTGGGGATTCTGCGCCATTGCTCTTGCAAGGCAGCGCCAAGTTTCTGCAAATTCTGAGGTTGGTTCCTAAGACCACGAAGCCTTCTCCCAAGTGCATCCCAAACGTGCTCTATTGGATTAAGGTCAGGGGACCTCGATGGCCAGGCCATGACGTTGATTCCAGCGTTTTGAAGGAAATTTCGTGTCAACATCGCGGTATGCGGCCGAGCATTATCATGCTGGAACTGTAGACCTGGGCCATGAGCCGCCATGAAAGGAACGAGTTCAGGGGTGAGCACCTGGTCGCGGTAAGCAGCAGCTGTGAGGTTTCCACGGATGACCAGAAGTCGGGAACGGTTGTTCCACAGAAAGCACCCACACCATGCAACTTCCGCCCCCAAATCTGTCGACTTCCTGTACACAACATTGGGCATACCGTTCACGACGTCGTCTCCAGACTCTATGCCTGCCTTCTGCGAATCTGAGAGTAAACCTGGATTCATCGCTAAAGACGACTCGATTTCAGTCTCTCTGGGTCCATCGGAGGCGACGTTGGGCCCACAGCAGACGTTGACGTTGACGAAACGGCGTCAATATTGGCCCACGATATGGACGTCGAGAATGGAGATTGACAGCCCGCAACCGATTTCGAATTGTCTGTGAGGACAGTCGACCTCTAAACATCTAGCCGGCAGCATGTAGCCGGCAGAAATCTGTCACGTAGGTGACGTAGGACGATTTGACGGTCTTCTGCTCGTGACGACCCGACCTTGGACGATCAGAAGTGGTGCCAGTTTGTTGTAGACGATCTCGCAAGTCATACACAGTACGACGGCTGCATCCCATTGCTCTTGCGACGTCAATAACTGATCTTCCCGCTTGCAACATGCCAACGGCACGTTCACGTTGCACATTTGACAATCGTGGCATTTCAAGTACCGTTAGAATTGTGGTTTAAAAGTGTTTTTTCAATTCTTGAGGCCAATGCAAACACGTGCATATGAAGAAAACTTCGATGCGAAGATCACGTGATCGACTGCACGTGCAAAACCTGATTTGGCACTAATGTCATTTGCACGACGAATGGATGGGTTTGAGTGGGTTTTGCTCACGTTTTTCTAGAGTCGAAAGATAGGGATCCCATTTCGGATACATAGATGTATCATCAGAGAAAAGTTATTCATTATTTTTCAAATTACATTTTGTGAAGTTTCTTTTTTGACTCAGTATATTATAAAATTATGTAAATTTCGTGGTTGAAAAGAAACCTATTCCACGTTGCTCTGCTACAAGAAAATAACACCAGCGTACGCGTGTATTTTATTACTGATGAAATGTCACGGAAATGTTTTATTGTGTTCGATGAACAATTTAATGATAAAAACCTGAAGGTTGTTCTGATTTTCTTTTAAACTCAATGAAACGTTTTCTGACATGATGGGACCTTTACGTCAGGAATAGCCTGAAGCTGGGGATTAGCAGCTCGGAGCTTGCGGGGGGTTAGATCGAGCAGACGGACGATGAATAATCGGCTACACAGTACCTGCCTGTCCGACATCCTTCTATTATCATATTGACGTATACCGTGACATTACTGCAAGACGTTGGTGCCCCGGCCGCGTCATAAAATATGGTACTTGTTGGTCCCTGCCTGGCGCTCGGCATTAATGGGTACAACAAGGACTGGTCGGCTCGGAGTCAGTATGATGTGTCTGAGTGGGGTATTCATGCTTCACTGCGGCATGGTATCTCAGTGGGCTAGCACTATAAAACCAGCTTAAGTCTGGGCTAGTACAAGCAGCCGCACATACACATACACACACATGCACGTCGTCATATGAGCGAAATATTCTCAAGCACGACGTAAAACCCAATTTCACCTGGTGTTCTTGGGTTGTGTTCTCACCGAATTCTTTTACATACAAGACGAGTATATGGATGACAGCGTCTTCTTTATTGTATAACACGACGCTTCTGGGCTACTTCTTGCCCTTCTTCAGGTGACTTCTTGCTTTTCGGTGATTTTTGCCCCTTCTCCAGGTGATAAAATAACATGTCACTCACATCACCTGAAGAAGGCAAGAAGTCACCTGAAGAAGGGCAAGAAGTAGCCCAGAAGCGTCGTCTTATACAATAAAGAAGAAGCTGTCATCTATATACTCGTCTTATATATTCATCAACTTCTAAATGCCTTTCAAGAATTCTTTTACGTACAAATTTTGGATTAACCTGTTGTTTCAAATTGGGAAATCGCCACGAAACACCTGGTTTTTATTAGATTAGATTTCGACCATTCGCCATTCTCGGAAGCTGAACATATATTAGGTTTCTTACAAGGGATGTATCGTGAACAGTATTTCGGAAATGCGTACACATCTTTCTCTAAAGGGAGATATTATTTGAGCAACGGAAACACAAAACGTTCAGGAAAGGAAGGTGATAATATTTCTGCGTGAGAATTTATCGAGAAAACGTTAAGAAAACATGACTTAAGGGAGCCAGCCCATCCCCTTAAACCCGAATACTACATATACATAGATCTGCTACAAATATCAATAGCAGTTAGAAAGGGTGAAATTAAGAGAAATTACTGAATAACTATCAAGAAAATGTATATAGGGGATATCTTTTACCGACAGCATTAGTGTTGTTTTCAATTTTTTTGTCTTATATTTGCTTCCTCGCGTACCACAGACGATTGTAGTGAATGAGTGACTATAGGTTTACGCCGCTTTTAGCAATATTCCAGTTCCAACACTAGAAATGGGCTTCACACATTGTAACCATATAGGGAATCGAACCCAGGTCTTCAGCGTGACGAACGAACGCCTTAACCACTAGGCTACCCAACCGTCCCTAAACGATTGTATTACAAGGGAGACATCAACGGTCCGCTCGTCGCCGCACTACAGCTGCTGGTGGACTGGTGTAGTTCCGAATCCCTTGTGTCAAAAGGCAGTCTGACAGCTTCAAGCCCCAACACACAATAGTGTAATATCTTCCACACACCTCGCTGACATATAACTGGTATACATTTCATAACCCCAACAAGGAAAGCCGAACTTGTGAATAATACTATAAGATTACTATTACCGAAGACTAATAGGTCTGTGCTTTTACAGTTACCTCAAAACTAAACTTGACCGAGCACTTCCGATTGTCATGCAAGGGAGATAACAATAGATGGAGGCATATTATAAGACAAGATAAGATATGGCAAATAGTACCTTTCAATTCATGAAGTATTCTTCTCACAGGTTTTGCTCTTATGCTTAATACTTTTAAAAAAATAAAAAATTGAATTATTACATAGGTTTTGATTGATATGGCTGTACATAAATATCTGGTATTTCATAATCGGTTGATTTAATTAGCAATCGAGATTGTTAATGGCTGTATCTTCGAAGCGGGTTAAAGTATTGTAAAATTATAGTCCTCCTGAGAGGTTAAGTCCCAAAGCTTTAAAGGTCGATTTCGCTTTACCAAACATTTAAACGGAGTATATTCGTTGTTTGAACTAACAGCTATAACTCGGTACAATCGCCAAAAGCTGAAGGGATGGTGTAAGTCCAGCTGGGGTCCATGCAGGTAGCAAAACCACTGTAGGTCCCCATAGTGATCTACCTTGAGTTGCTGGCGATACTCAGCCCGTTTGTTATCTTGTATTGTCCTGATTGATATCATCTATTAAAGATAGATGCTAGTTTAATTTAATTCTTGATACTGTGATATTCTAGTTGGTTTTACTGTCCTACAGTTTTGTATTTATCATGAATTTATAACTGGTTTTAGTCACGATATGGCAGAAATACTGCTGATGTGACTCTAAACTCTAACTCACTCACTCTCTCATGTACAGGTAGGACTTGGTGATCTGATCCAACTGGTTTACTTTAGTGTAGAGACGGGTGTAAGCCATTAAGTGATCCGCATCAGATCATTTCAAATGATGATCCATGAAGTATGGGGACATGTTTACAATTTACGGAACTGAAAGTCTCTGAATGGCTTTGACATTACATTACATTACATGATAACATACCTGTGACAAATAAAAAAGTAGTCCCCTTTGTAGTTTTGAGTTTCTTAAGTGTGTTTGGGGATGTTCAATACGTTCAACTACAGCGTTAAGACAAACTCTCTGCAACCCCAGAATCCGGAAAGTGTATCAATATTTGGAACAAGGTCCACGGATCAGTTATAAATAGCATTAAAAAGTTAACGTGTAGTTTCGTATGCAAGTGATTATAACAATAGATCCGCCGATTCACACAATCCGTTCTACCCTACATAACGTAGAGATATATCAGAGTTTGCCAGTGTATCTATCGTTGTGGGAGAGAGCGCACTCTGAGTCGCTGTGCTCATGGCAGGTCGAAGATGGAACAAGTTGGCAACCTTCAGAGGACTATGTCACAGCATGAAGAAGAAGCTGTGCTGCTGTGCCTGGCCAGGATATCAGGTAGGTGTCTCCAACTGCCGCTCATATATACTTAATCTACCATGGTCCTACTTGCTTCCTTCCTTCCTTTCTCCCTACCCTCCTTTCTCCTTAAGTCCTCTATCTCATTAGCATCCTCAAATTGAGTTGATTCATTCATAATATTCATAGTAAAGAGTTGACCTATGATGGCATGTGAAGTTACCTATCAAATTCCATTCACACTTGGAATTCCGATTCTCAGGGAAAGAAATCTGTGTCATTGACGACTTCATAATTTTAAGACTCACGCATACTATCACAGTGCGGGCGGTGGGGTAGCCTAGAATAGATTTCACATAGAAGGTGAACGTTAGAATATATTCCGCATAGAAGATGAATATGAATATGATATATTTGGCGTAAATTACACAATTCTTTGTACTCGTCGTGTCATATGTTGAAGTTGCTGTTTTCCCCTGTCCTCAGTTGGTGCCACCAGACGAGGACTGGGAGGACGAGGACCGCCTGACAGAAGATGAAAGAAGGTCGTGTGTGTCAGAGAGGACCCTGTTCCTGGTGTCTCAACACGTGGGCATGGGTTTCCAGATGCTGGGTCTGAGACTGGGGCTTCCGTACGTCAGTGTGGAGAGGTGCACGCTGTCACAGTCTTCGCCTCAGATGCAGATATTCGCCATGCTGAACACGTGGAGACAGCGGAAGGGAAGACGGGCAACTGTTGAAGTCCTGTTTCAAGCCCTGTCGGACAGCATGTCGGTCTGCACGGTGGACATGCCTCATGTCTACAGGGTGATCCGTGAAATGTAACATTGTGTGTCACCATATACATCCACGTACAGCAAGCAGCTCTCTGGGACTCGTGACATACTTAAATATATTTCAAGTTCACTTCAGTTTTGCGAGATGTTGTTGAGAAGTATCAGTAATATTTCAGTAATGTCGATGTGTCCCTCCCATGATGTCTTGGACTCCGTGTAAACGTGGGATATTTTATGAAGGTGTTGACCTAATAAAGTCTTACAATGTTCTGTTTTGTGTTTATTCTTTAAGTGAGTGAGTGAGTGAGTGAGTGAGTATGCTTTTAGGTCGCTTTTAGCAACATTTGAGCAATATCACGGTGGAGGACACCAGAAATGGGCTTCACATATTGTACCCATGTGGGAATCGAACCCGGGTCTTTGGCATGACGAGCCAACACTTTAACCACTAGGCTATCCCATCACCCTTTCTCTTTAAGAATGAATAAAGCATGTGAGCGTAACGTACTGTTGAAGACAGTGAATAAAGTTTAGGTTTAACCCGTACAAGCAGATATGCAGTTACATGCCGCATGTACACTGGTTGGTCCGTGAAATGTAACATTACTAGAGACAGACACTACGACATACGACTTCCTGAATGTATAATTACATGTATGAACGACAAGTTTCCTTAATGTTGACCTCATTTGTACGTTACTTTGGTGAGAAAGATTACCCAAATAATTATTTTCTTAGATTGTAAACAGTCTTCATCTATCCCTGCTATGATTCAAAACCTTTACACTTTGGTTTTGTGTATCCACTGGATGTTTGCGAATATATTTCCTGATAAAACTTAAGACTACTGCCAGATGCACCTTATCTTCATGTTTGTATAACCGTTGTGAAGAGAATGATCCGAGCAAGGAAACCCAGTTAAAGACAGTGAATAAGTGCGGGTTGACGCCCTGTCTGATAGCATGGCTGTGTTCACTGTAGACTGGCCTCATGTATACAGGTATATCAGATACACAGGGCTACTGAGAATCTGGATACCTAGAACATGATGATGTAGTGAATATGGCGTCATACTTCACGACCGGTTATAATTACTCCATTGTTGTCATTCAACTGTTACAAAAGGAGCTTACAGTTGTTTATAATTTTGTAGTTAAGTAAGAGTAAACTTTCTTGTTATACATATTTTTTAGTCACTCTACTTTGCAAATTTCGAAATGCAGATAACAACACTAACATGAATGTTCCATTTTGAAGCAGGAGTCGTGGGCTTCTGGTAGACATTACAGACACAGTTGTGGACAGACACACCCACAGACTTCCCCCCATGTCCACACACATACACACACCCCCACCCATACCCGAATATAGAAAACACACGCACACACACACGCACGCACGTTCGCACACGCATAGCGCAGAGACTGGCTGGGACGCCATGTTATATGTCCTATTTACGTATCATGAACACTGTGCATTGCTATTTGGCGGAATGGGAAGGTATCCGTGAAATGTAACACACGTAATCAGATTGCTGTTTCTAAATGGCACCAGTTGACATTAATTGTGACTGTGTATTAGAACCTGTTCGTCATGGTGACCATTATGCTACAATTGTCTGTAAACTTATCTGCCCGTGAAGATCCGGGTTAGAATTGATCTTCATTTACACATGCTCGTCGTAAAAGGCGACTAACAGGATCGGGTGGTGAAGCTCGCTGACTGGGTTGACCCATGTCATCGGTTCCCAATTGGGCAGATCGATGCTCATGCTGTTGATCACTGGATTGTCTGGTACTGACTGAATTATGTGCAGACGGACGCCATATGGCTGGAATATTGCTGAGTGCGGCGTAAAACTAAACTCACTCATTCTGTGAACCTACTGAAACTCGATAAGGGAGCGAAGTCAAACATCCGTTAAATAGCAGCATTGTAATAAGCTTTAGAGAGTCGCCCTTACACGTGTGTGTTCTTTTGTTTGCAAAGAATAAGTATGCTGTCGACACAGACAATTGCTCAGTACACTGCTTGTCTAGTTTAAAATGTATCGAAAATACATTTTCAGTGTTAGGTGCGTTTATACAATATTTATAAGAAATAAATTAAACTAAAACAGAGAACTGACATGTGGACATATAAATGGCGGTGACAGATTGAACATAGAGTGAGATACTTTAATTGAAGAAGGACAAGTTGTTTGAATTAAATTCTTTACAGTTTAAACCTGCTATACAAATGTTGGCATAACATAGTGCTTACTGTTGACACAGACCCGCCCATAATGTGTGCATCAGAGACCATATTTATGGGGCTAGTGCGTTGTGTAAGTGCATCCCATGCATTGTGTTTAGGGGTGGTGATAAACAGAAATGGTGGTGCGTTCATACGATGTCTGTCTTTGAAACGTTTGTTAAGGCTTATACTTCCTATCCAAAGTGAAAGTTCAGGTTCCCGTGTATATTTAACAGTATATTACACTACCTCAAAACAGAACTGTTAACAAATGCAGTTTAGCGAACTTAACCCAGCATTTCCGATTGTAATACAAGGGAGATAACACTAGGTGGAGGTATATTTTTAGACTGGTTTGTCTGTCGTAGAGCGCATGCACCTTACCGCTGCTGGGACTTTAGGTTACACAACACCAAATGTTTTCCCATGGACTTCTATTGTAAAGTTATATATTTCTTTAAATCATCCAGGCTGTCAACAGCCATTCCATGTACGTATGTGTACAGTCTGGACTTTAAACTACAGTAAAAAAAAACCCACAAATCCCGGCTAACTTATCGTGGTAATTTTCCGAGCACAGGAAGCTGAACACATCAACCCCATTTCTGCACCAAATGTCGCCAACATGAAAATATCTGTACACACAATAAGCATACGTCGTGGTGATAAAAATGACAGCACTAAATACTTAATATTATTATAGGTTATAACTGCTGGATGGGTGCGCTTTTAAAAACCATAAAATTCTTACACTATTTCATCCAACCACAGCTCTCACATGTCTCTATCTCTTCAGATGTTTACATACGGTACTCGCTCAGGGCGCATGTCCTTCTCATTTAGTGTAGTGGAACCTGTAAGGACAGGGTACTAGCTATGTCGTCTGCTGTCAACATATCCGTGAAGTCTGTTGTGACTATATCCGTGAAACTGTTAGGGAACGATACTGAAGACAACATTATTTTCACGGACCACCCTGTATACATGTGACCGTGACCGCATGTCTGTTTGCACGGGTTAAACCTGAACTTCAGTCACTGTCTTCCACAGTACGTATACGTTACACTCACATGCTCCATTCATTCTTAAAGAGAGACACTAAACTGAAGATGAAGAAAACATTGTAAGTCTTTAATGCTTCATTAGGCTAACACCTTCATAGTATGTATATCTCATGTTTATACCTTGTCAAATGATGATCCGTGAAGCATGAGGCCATGCTTACAATTTACCGAACTGAAAGTCTCTGAATGGCTTTGACATTACATTACATTACATGATAACATATCTGTGACAGATACAAAAGTAGTCCCCTTTGTCGTTTTGAGTGTCTTAAGCGTGTTTGGGGATGTTCAATACGTTTAACTACAGCGTTCAGACAAACTCTCTGCAACCCCAGAATCCTGAAAGTGTATCAATATTTGGAAAAAGGTCCACGGAACAGTCCACGGATCAGTTATAAATAGCATTACAATGTAAACGTGTTTCTAGTTTCGTATGCAAGTGATTATAACAATAGATCCGCCGATTCAAACAATCCGTTCTACCCTACATAACGTAGAGATATATCAGAGTTTGCCAGTGTATCTATCGTTGTGGGAGAGAGCGCACCTCGAGGCGCTGTGCTCATGGCAGGTCGAAGATGGAACAAGTTGGCAACCTTCAGAGGAATATGTCACAGCATGAAGAAGAAGCTGTGCTGCTGTGCCTGGCCAGGATATCAGGTAGGTGTCTCCAACTGCCGCTCATATATACTTAATCTACCATGGTCCTACTGGCTTCCTTCCTTCCTTTCTCCCTACCCTCCTTTCTCCTTAAGTCCTCTATCACATTAGCACCCTCAAATTGAGTTGATTCATTCATAATATTCATAGTAAAGAGTTGACCTATGATGGCATGTGAAGTTACCAATCAAATTCCATTCACACTTGGAATTCAGATTCTCAGGGAAAGAAATCTTTGTTATTGATGACTTCATAATTTTAAGACTCACGCATACTATCACACTGCGGGCGGTGGGGTAGCCTAGAATAGATTTCACATAGAAGGTGAACGTTAGAATATATTCCACATGGATGATGAATATGAATATGATATATTTGGCGTAAATTACACAATTCTTTGTACTCGTCGTGTCATATGTTGAAGATGCTGTTTTCCCCTGTCCTCAGTTGGTGCCACCAGACGAGGACTGGGAGGACGAGGACCGCCTGACAGAAGATGAAAGAAGGTCGTGTGTGTCAGAGAGGGACCCTGTTCCTGGTATCTCAACACGTGGGCGGTGGTTTCCAGATGCTGGGTCTGAGACTGGGGCTTCCGTACGTCAGTGTGGAGAGGTGCACGCTGTCACAGTCATCGCCTCAGATGCAGATATTCGCCATGCTGAACACGTGGAGACAGCGGAAGGGAAGACGGGCAACTGTTGAAGTCCTGGTTCAAGCCCTGTCTGACAGCATGTCGGTCTGCACGGTGGACTTGCCTCATGTCTACAGGGTGATCCGTGAAATGTAACATTGTGTGTCACCATATACATCCACGTACAGCAAGCAGCTCTCTGGGACTCGTGACATACTTAAATATATTTCAAGTTCACTTCAGTTTTGCGAGATGTTGTTGAGAAGTATCAGTAATATTTCAGTAATGTCGATGTGTCCCTCCCATGATGTCTTGGACTCCGTGTAAACGTGGGATATTTTATGAAGGTGTTGACCTAATAAAGTCTTACAATGTTCTGTTTTGTGTTTATTCTTTAAGTGAGTGAGTGAGTGAGTGAGTGAGTATGCTTTTAGGTCGCTTTTAGCAACATTTGAGCAATATCACGGTGGAGGACACCAGAAATGGGCTTCACATATTGTACCCATGTGGGGAATCGAACCCGGGTCTTTGGCATGACGAGCCAACACTTTAACCACGAGGCTATCCCATCACCCTTTCTCTTTAAGAATGAATGAAGCATGTGAGCGTAACGTACTGTTGAAGACAGTGAATAAAGTTTAGGTTTAACCCGTACAAGCAGATATGCAGTTACATGCCGC